GCACTTGGGATGATTTCAGAAATTCCACCTGTGCTTTCAAGTACATGATGCAAAAGCTATGGTATGTCAGGTGATTGTTGTTTCTGTTTTCCTTCTCCAACAAACGTATGGCACAACAATGGCCATGTGGTCCTAACTAGCACTTCTTTCAGTCTCATGAAAGAGAAACAGCTCATTTTCAAATGGTTCATTTTTAAGTTGTTCAAGGTTTTTGCCAGCAAGGACCTAAAACGTCAGGTTGCAGTAAGAAGATCAGGAATTACCAGTGACGAGAGAATTAAAGAGCTGACTGGGGCTCAGGAAGGTCCCCGTGGAAAATCAGGCACGTAGGATGGGGACACAATGGACTTGAGCAATCCGTCTGCCACGTGCCCGTACCACACTGCCCGTCACTTTCACTCCTCAGGAAGACTATGACCTTGCTGATGCTGGATGGGGCGTGTGGAGCTTTGCTGGCTTCGCAGTGGTTACAGCTGGAGAGGGACAGCCTTCTGATTGGCTCCAGCTTGCTCTCACTGGGTTAGTAGCTTATTCTCAATCTCCTGCTTCAGAAAGTCAACCCCAACCCCCACAACTGTGCATCTCTTGAGCATGACAGAGCAGTTGCCTTTCTATGTGGGACTTCATTTCTGTTCTTCTAAGAAAGGAGAAAGACTCGGGACCCTTCCAACATGGTCCCTCCCACTTCAGAGTGAGGGAGGACGCACCCTTCTGTGGAGTCAGGGTGGTGGTAGGCTGTGTGACTGGCAGGACTGTTTAAATCTCTCCTGCAAACTGTTACTGTCATTTCCAGAGAAGAGAAGAAGCCCCAAGGCCACTCCACACTACACCAGGCCACTGACAGGCAGAAGACAAGCCAATTCCCCAATATACCACCTTAGTCTATGTGCTCAAAGGCCTCAAGAGCATGCCTGACTTGGCCCAGGCTCACCACATCAAGCCCCTGATACAAACACTATGTACTATGTTGCTATGGCTGCTGCAGACCTTTTAAAGGACAGAAGGGGGCAACCACCTGGCCACCGAAGGAGTCCGTTCCTTCTGGTTTTGTGCACTGAATTAGTTCCTTGGGATATGTGCCAAAGCCAAGTTGTTCTCCTGCTGAACTCAAAGAAGTTAGCACTAATTAAATCACCAGAGGCAAATGACGTGGGAATCTGGAGGAAAAAAAAAAAAAAAAAACTCCATGTCCTTGCTCTCTGATTTTTGTTTTCAGTGAAATCCTTTGATGAGATAGGCAGATGAGGCCAAATAATGGTACAGCCACTCCATCCCAGTTTCAGCAGGGAGAAGAGTCCAATCCAAGCCTTCAACTGGAGTGGGAGCACTTCCAAAGCCGGCCCTTTTCATCTTTGTCGTCTAATTGGTAGTAGAGGACATGGTGGCAGCCAACAATACCAGCACCTTCAGCTCTGTGGTTCAAACCTCATTAAATATGAATAGCAGATCTTATTGTCCCAGCCTCACAGATAGACGAAGCAAGGCTGGTAGAGGAAGGCTGAGCAGCCTGATGGTCCTGAAAGCGGGGAGTCCACAATACAGATAGTCCCAATAACTATATTCTCCCAAGTCCCACCGGACATCAAGATTCCCAGTAAAGCCTAGGACGTCCAGGTGGTTAACTCATCCACAATCTCTAATTAGGACTCAGGAGGAAAGGGGTGGAGCCAATCTCAGGGGCAGAACAAGGGGGCGGGAGGGAGAAGCGAACCCAGAGGATTGGAATTATAACAGGAAAATGGCTGAAGGAACTGAATTGTGACTGAAGCCAAATGGTTTGGCAGAGGCAGCCATGCTTGGGGAGCTGTGATGACAGGGACAGTCTTTTTCCATCCCACTTCGAGCTGGCTTTAGAGAACTTTATCTTTTATGTCCAAAGATCAAATTAAAATAAAAAGATCACATTTAATGAGAGCTAAGGGAAATAAAGTGGTGGCAATTAAAGAGTAAAAATAACTTCTCTGTGGTTGCAGACCACAGGAGTTTCCTAGTTTTAAGAGGCCACAGGCAAATCACTTACACAAGGCCTTTTGGGCTGCATTCCTCTCGTGTTTCCTCCCACACCCATGGCGGCTAAAGTTAGAGGCAGCCATGGCGCTTGAACTCCTGGAATGGTGTAGTAACCAGAAATGCAGGAGGCCAAACTCATCAACTTACAAACGCAGCTTTGTTGCAAGAAGTCAAATGCAAGACCCTATGCAGTGCACCATGGGCGTGACCCGGAGTTAACAGGGGTAAAAGACAGAATCCCTAATCTTAATGAGATCCTTTTCTTTCCCTGACCTCAAACAGATCTACCGTCCCTGACTGGGGACATTCAGTCTCATAGTTGATCTACGTCCAGGGAATTCTCACTCAGCGCCTTAGTTTTCCACGTGCAGATTGGATCTGAACTAGACCACGAAGCACATGTGAATTTTCTCTCAGACCTAGGATAACCAAGCTCCCTCAAACACAAAACAGAGGCCTGGCTGATCTGAGATTTCATTTCAGTCAGGACCTGTACTCAAGAAACTTGCTATCAGGCAGTCGTCAATCTTCAGATCGGACTAGGTACCGAAAAACATCTGCAGCTTAGGGATGGCTTCCCAGAACACCTGCAGACACACACACGCATCTGCCCAGAAAAGACAAGCTTCCCAGAACACCTGGACACACACGCATCTGCCCATTGAAGACAAGCTTCCCAGAACACCTGCAGACACACAATCACATCTGCCCAGAGAAGACAAGCTTCCCAGGACACCTGCAGACACACAATCACATCTGCCCAGAAATGACAAGCTTCCCAGAACACCTGGAGACACACAATTGCATCTGACCAGAGAGGACAAGCTTCCCAGGACACCTGCAGGCACACAAACAGATTTACCCAGAGAGGACAAGCCTGGTAAATTTAAAATTTACCAATTCTGGACAAGATGAGTTACTTAGCAGAAAGAAGTGGGGGTGGTTACCCTATAATTTAAAGCCTTATCCCACATCTGATAGAGGATTAATATCCAAAATACATAAAGAACTCTAGAACCTAAATATCAGCAAACCAAACAGTCTAACTGAAAAATGGGGTATGGACCTAAACAGAGAATTCTTCATAGAAGAATCTCCAATGGCTGCGAAACACTTAGACATTCAACATCCTTAGTCATCAGGGAAATGCAAATCAAAAGCACTTTGAGATTCTGTCTTCTACTTGTCAGATGGTTAAGCTCAGTAACACAAGTGACAGCTCCTGCTGATGAGCATGTGGAGGAAGGGGAGCATCCTCTATGGCTGGTGGGAATGCAAACTTGTACAGCCACTGTGGAAATCAACAGGGCAGTTCCTCAGAAAACTGCCAATCAATCTACCTCAAGACAACTCTTCGGTATATACCCCCAAAACACTCCATCCTACCACAAGGACACTTGCTTGACTATGCTCATAGTGGCTTTATTCATAATAACCAGAAACTGGAAACAACCTAGATATTCCTCAGCTGAAGAAATGGATAAAGGAAATGTGGTACAGGAACATTTACACGATGGAGCATTATTCAGCTGTTTTTTAAAAAATGACATCTTAAAATCTGCAGGCAAATGGATGGGAGTAGAAAAAAGTCATCCTGAGTGAGGC